AGTGTTTGTACTATGCTTTACTATGCTATGCATGTTTGAGATGCTGATTAAGTGTCTGTTCTATGCTTTACTATGTTATGCATATTTGAGCTATTGATTAAGCATCCGTACTATGCTATGCATGTCTGAGATGCTGATTGAGTGTTTGTACTATGCTTTACTATGTTATGCATGTTTGAGATTCTGATTGAGCATATGTACTGGGCTATGCTATGCTATGCATGTTGAATATGCTAACTAAGCATATATATTAGGCTATGGTATGCCATGCATGCTTGCGTTCCTGGTTAGCGCCTGACTATTCTGTATTACACCATGCGTGTTTGAGATGCTGAATACGCATTTGTATTATGCTTCATACATTATAATCAACTTAGCGGCAGCACAGACAGTAATTAGTTCCGAATTTATGAACCGGTCTAAGTTTTGGTAAGTGCTTGAAATTGAGTAGTTTCAGCGTGTATAACACTGTATCAATATTGACTATGTAAAGTGTTGCTGAGTGTAGGACTCTAAAACGCAGGCTGCAATCTGTGGTACTGCACATGGCCTTTCGACGACACCCATTAGAATATAACGCTTACGACAGAGTGACGGATGTCAGACATGTCACGTATCATTATGCACAATAAGTCAGTCTGTGAGATAGAACTTTCAGCACGGGTAAAATTGGCTCGAAATGAGCCCATGGCCAGGACAGGCAACCACGCGTGTTTGGCCCACAACACTATAAATGTCACACTGACAAGTATGCGCATGTGTAACCATACCAAGCAATTGAAGGTACGCGCACATCCTACAGATATACACATCATGCATAAAATCGACTATCACGCTTGAATCTGCATACCACTCTCTCGTATCCTCTCAGCTTCCGGACATGCCGATGTCTTCACGTATTCAATCACCTCCGCATGTGCACGTTTGAATACGCATATACGCTTATCCAATTGTCGTAGGAGGGTCGTATGCGCCATTGATTCATGTGGAGGTGATATAGAAGCAGAACCTTGTTGTGTACGCATTGCATGTACTTTGGATACAACAGCATCTTTTTCATTGGTATTTGTATCTCTGCGCACGGGATTACTTTTATCGTTCTCGGCTTCATGTTTCACTATGTACGCTGTTTTGCTTCCATTCCTATCAGTTTTTTCAATGTGTCCTATGTCTGGTTGTGTATCCTCAGATACTGATACGTTCTGTCGTACACTATCTGCATTATCTACGTCACACGCACGCGTCACTTCCGGGACATGGTCTATCGCACTGTCGATCTTCTCACCACTAAAGACACATACTTCTTTCGGTTGAGTGTGAGCATGTCTGCTTCTAGTGGCACCTGGAGGCGTGTTGGTACAGTTCGCCATCGAGACGTCTTGAGTAGCCATAAACAGGCTACCTCATATGACTACCTACAAGGAATGGAGTGTGAAGCCTCTGAGGAAGTAGTAGTGTTCATTACTGTCTCTATGTATACATGAGTGACATACGTGCAAACCGTTTGATACGCATAATTGTGTGAGAACACTACCACAAGTCGCTTATATATACGTCAGTTCCCTCACAGCCCATGAATATAAATATACAACATACTTCGTTATATAAATATATTTATTTACCTTATTTACATATATTTACAGAGGCCATTTAGCCGACTATTTGCGCGCGCCCACGTTTGTACCAATCAGTGGCGGTTTGTTGATTATAGTTTATCAGTTCTGACTTACGTGTGTGTACCTTCTTGACATCTTTTCCCAGACTGTGACTAATAATATTTATCTTTTTTATTTATTTTTAAAAACAAAATTGTGTAGTTACGTGTGAGTTGTGACTTGACAAGTTGACAGGTTGTCAGCAGCTGTTCACTTATGGGTTCATACAGATAAATAATAAACATATATATTCATTTCATATTTATGTGAACATTATTACGTATATGTATGTATACATGCACATGCTGACACGCTTGTCTTTCACACCTATCGTCGTCCACACTACTGCCATTGCTACTTAAATTGATTGCCCTGGGAAATTCGTCAAGCGATGACCTTCGCAAACGAACGCGCTCTGCGTGCGATGAGCACATTGCGCACGCTAGCTGCAACTAATCTAGACAACTGTATGTATTTGACATATGTATACACATACGTGTATCGTATCTAACAACTACAAATAATCGCATTACTTGTATACAAGTGACTTCCATATAATATGTGTAACAAATTACAAGTATTCGGCTTGATGTGTATAAATGTGACGTCCGTGTACTCTTGGACTGGTGAACTGTTTGTATTGCCATCTGTGTGCAAGTTCGTTGGATGCGAGTCTCTTTAACAAATTAACTCGTGGGTGGACGTGTCCCTTGATACCTGCATGGGTTTGTATCCACTTATGCGTGAGTTATTCGGTAGATATATTCACGCTTAACTCATAGCACATATATAACAATATTCATAACTCCACTACAAAACTCAAACGCGCAAATGACCGCAATGATGCGAGTGCTTTAGCTGTTCAAGGGTACACACACACACACACGCACACACACATATATATATATATATATATACATGCACACACACACACTCACTCACTCACTCACTCACACTCACTCACTCACCCACTCACTCACTCCCTCACTCACTCACTCTCACTCACTCACTCACTCTCACTCACTCACTCACTCTC